CTATGAGTATTTTTATATGAGTAAAAAATAAATTTTGAGAGTAAAGAAGTGTTAAGTTGAAATCCCTACAAACTAACTAAGGTTCCTTAATGGTCTTACTCATTACCTTTAAAGAATCCCATAAAACATTACACTCATTTACTCGTGGTTCTCCATAAACAAGATAGGCCCAAAAATTATCTTGAATGCGTAAATCAATGATATGACAATGAATAATTTGCATGTTAGAGTATATGTACTCTAGTTTCACATCAACTTCATTCTAAAAAATCTAAATCCCTCCTGCAAAACCCGCCGCTTTAATTTTGGTCTAGTTATGAAAACCCAATTTACGAACAACCTTATCAACTTCTTCCCCACAAATCCTAGTCTCAACTAGGCAAAGCACATCAATCTTATGTCTAGAAACAAAATCTTTAATTAGGTGTGGGAATGTCTTACCCCTAGCACCTCTACAATTCTAGTGACCAATAATCATTAAAAGAAAAATTAAAAACAGGAATAATAGTGAAAAGGCGAACTTACTCACCCATATCATCATCCTCTTCTATAGTGAGATCTTCAATCTCTAGTATTCTCACAAAAATCTAGGTTTCCATGACCACTTCATCCTCGTCACTTTCAATTCACATTAAATCATCATCTAATGTCAAAGGCATATTGTAAATTGGACGATCATGGCGTTTTGAAGGTAATTCAGTGTGATTTAAGTCAATTTTCCTGCCCTCCTTTTTAATCTGACCCATCCAAATTTCTGAGGTTACTATTGTCAACTGTAACAGCCCTCCTGGGTCACCACTGCCTCTCCAGGGTCTTTTCCCAGGCGCTGGACAACACACATGTCACCACATGATTGCCGGCTTTCCCACTGGTGGTACAGTGGTTATTCCTCACCCCACCCTCACGGGGTCTTTTGGAACCTCCCCAGACTCGAACCTCCAACCTCTACCACCTTAACGAAGTTGAGGCGAAGTCTAGTACCATTGAGTCCAGTTGACTCAGTGGTACCAGACTTCGCCTCAACTTCGTTAAGGTGGTAGAGGTTGGAGGTTCGAGTCTGGGGAGGTTCCAAAAGACCCCCGTGAGGGTGGGGTGAGGAATAACCACTGTACCACCAGTGGGAAAGCCGGCAATCATGTGGTGACATGTGTGTTGTCCAGCGCCTGGGAAAAGACCCTGGAGAGGCAATGGTGACCCAGGAGGGCTGTTACATTTTCCCAGGCGCTGGACAACACACATGTCACCACATGATTGCCGGCTTTCCCACTGGTGGTACAGTGGTTATTCCTCACCCCACCCTCACGGGGTCTTTTGAAACCTCCCCAGACTCGAACCTCCAACCTCTATCACGTTAACGAAGTTGAGGCAAATTCTGGTACCATTGAGTCCGAAAAAGATCCTAGAGAGGCAGTGGTGACCCAGGAGAGCTGTTACATCAACCTCATGAGAAAGCCCATCTTGATTAAGGCCCTTTTCTTGCCCCTTCAGACATTTATGTCCACTAACAGATTGAGGCCTTACTTGGTCCAAATTTCCTTCTACCACCACATGAATCCTTTGACTACTTCCAACGGTCTTAATTGTCAAAGGCCCATTCTCTCCTTGCTTAGGATACAAGCTCGAAGATTGATTTACTTCCTCCCCATTCCTTTTTGACATTTCTACTGAGACCCAATTCTTCTTCCCTTTGCCTTTTGAATTATTTTTTGTATTTTCTAACATACCCTTTTCCACTTAGGGGCTCGAAGAGGCTTTTTCCTATAATTTTTGAGTCTCCTTCAAGCTATTATTCCTAGCCAGTGCAGAAATCTCTCCCATATCTTTCCTTCTATCTTGCATCACTTTCTTCATACTAGCTAGCTCCAAAAGATTTTCTTCCTCTGACAATTTGGCAAGTGCCGCATACCAAGATGTGATGTGAACTTTATCCTCCCATGCTTGGTTTCTTCGCCCTTTAGAGTTGTTGGGATTGGATTATGAGTAAGGGCTTCTTCTTGTAAAGTGAGTTTTCTATTGATTTCTCACTAACGTCCAACCACCATAATCTACACCTGTTGTAGGACCTTTAATCATCTCCATCATCGAAGCCATGATTGGTAGGGGTTGTTTCTCAGCTTCATTTAAATGGACAGAATCTTGTTTTGTAAGCTAAGGGCAATTTTCCCTTCTATGATTGTATCTATCACAATTAAAACAAATCACATTTAAACCTTCATACATAACATTGAAAAGAGAATTTGCAACAATAATTTTCAACACATAGATCTATCTCCACTTAGATTCTAGCATACCTCCTTCTTTCAGTTTTAGCATTATCACCATTAAAGGTATTCATGTTCCACCTTAAGGGTTCTTCCAATCCTCTCCCCTAATCTCATGATAAAATGCTAGTTATAGCAATGAAGAGAGATATTTGGGATACAGACCCAGAGAGCCATCCTACCCAGAGAGTTTTGAAGGGGATCAAAGAAAGGAGACCATCTCTGTATAACCACACAATGCCTACATTATGATTCAAGGTACTTCGAACAAAGCTCTCTTATAGTGAATCCTCCAGTTATCTTTATCTATAAATTTCACTGAGAAGTAGTTATTTGGAAGGTTTATTACTTTGAATGCATGATTAGGAATTCCCTGAAGCCTGACCAACCATTCCTTGAGCTTCTTCAAATACATTTTTTCCCTAACACTTTTAAAACCAAAGTATACCTTTATGGTTTGCACCATTCTTTAAATTCTTCAGCAGAGATAGGAACCTCAGGATATATGCCTTTAAGTTGTTTGATCTCCTCCGAAGGTTCTGGCAGTTCCCATAGGACTTCATCCTCCTCACCAAAAAGGTTCTCTTCATCCACAATAATATCACCATTTGCCACCCCATTGAACCCAATGAGAGAGTCCAATGGGAGAGTCCTTATAGGATATTTGTTTCGATCCAATCTGATTCACACCATGAGAGGGTTCTTCATCATCTTGCTTATCTTCCATAGGAGCATCTATGATATCATTTCCATGGATAAGCTCCTGAGAGTTACGTAACTTTTTATTTCTGCCATTGGTTGCAGAGTCGAAGGGTGGTTGGTCAGGTGGCTGCTTTCGCAAGCCACTAGGATCCGACATCATCCTAAAAGCTAAACCAGAAAACCAAAAAGAAAAGAAACTAACCCTAGCAGAGCTGCAAAGTGGGGGTCCTTTGACTTTGCCAATCCAAGCTAAGTGCGCGTGCCTAATCTCCCTCTTCCTTCTTCAGTATTCCCCTCCCCACTCACCCCTCCTTGTAAGTCAGTTCCTTTCTCTATCAAACTTGACATTATCACTTTAAAAAGCTTTAGCTTCTCGTGTCATGCTGCATTATAAACTCTCCTCTATCTCTAACTCTATCAAATGCAAATGATACTTCTACTGCCACTGCTACTCATTGCATCCGAATAAAACAGAATCTTCCCTTACACTCACGGAGAATTGATCAGATCCACTGCACACATTAGCAATTTGAGTGTTTGAATCAAAACACCATTTTGTCAAATGCTAGCTAGTGGACCATACTTTTAGGGATAACATAACACGGGTCTCCAACCCCAACCAATCTCCCGTGCTTGAGTTCAGCAGATCATGATTTTCTTAAACTACCACCACTTAAAATCTCAACTTCACACAGCAAAATCAATCTCCACTACACAGTGACTCATCAATCAAGTTTGACTGCTATACGCAAAGCTGAGATCGGCCTGTCCCGTACCCTTATTCTTGAACCAGGACCATAAACCAGTGGGTGTGAGTGTGAGAACATCAGGCCTACTCCTAGAAGCAATCATGCTTGCCTGCTAGACCTGTTCCAACCTTATCAATTTAGCTTCCTTTTTTATTTTTGGGGGGGTCTTCTTGGAGAGTCCCATTTCACGCTCAACTATTATTATTACTAACACATCGCTGGTCCCAAACATGTGAGTGCCAGACGCATTATATTGGAAGAAGAGAAAGTTACTTTGCGCCTTTTTGGTCCCCCCCCCTCCCTCTACCTTTTCCTTTTCTTCAATACCTCCTCTAACTCCTCTGTGCATTCCTTAGTTATCAGTTATTGTCAAAACATCCGAGCTAACATTATCTAAAAGGAAGATAACATTCAAAGGACATGTATCTGTGAAATTTTCGATGCTGCAACTGCAGCAATGACCCTGTGTAGAAGAGGTACTAACGTGTTCTCTCTTCAACTCCAATAAATGCTCCACTATTAGGCTCATTCAAATAGAATTCTTCTGAATATTTCCAAATTTATGTGGCCTTCAAGATATACAGTCTGTCTCCCGTGGAAGCTATACTATCACATTTTACCACTTTACTAACATTTATTTATCGATGGATTACTTGTAACATCAGGCGCCCCAACCTCTAGGCACCAACACATTAAGGACTTTTTGAATTTTTCTCTCTTGTATATATTGGTTGAACACGTAATTATGTTCATGGTACTGCTAGTTTCAATATTCCATTTTCAGCTGCTCTAGTGACAAATACGCGAGGCAGTGTGATTAAATGCCAATATGTGTCCATAAACTTTATCGTCCAGTGACGAGGGCCAACTAATTATAGAGTATATGGTTTGCAGGTTCATGCATCTAACTCTAACTATAACTCTATGAAATGTGGCGTTTTCATGGCACTATTAGCAGCGCTCACGAAGCAAGTGATTGGGTCATCGCACACTTACGCCCCTTGGCCTACACGTGTCCTCTTCCAATTGCTTCTTTTGACTTTCATCGATTAATTAAAGGGATCAAATTATCATGCCGATACCAATACTGATGATTTAATAGACTCAAAGCGGCTGCGTCAAAACAAAGTTGTTCTGACTGGTTCCCTAACAATGTTGGTCCATTTCCTCTGCTCAATCATATCACAACCTATTGCGTTTTTGTCCCCGCCAAACAGTCAATTTCCACTGCACCCACTTTCCTTTTTCATTCAAATATTACTTACTTAAATCGAACCTTTTTTGATGACTTCAATTATTTGGACAACTACCAACAGCAGCCTAGACTTAGCCTTGTCAATTTAGAACCATGGGCTTCGTAACAGTGACGCCTGCTGCACTGGTTTCTGATGGTGAATGAACTGTAGCATAATGATTATAACTCATGACGCTCTCACGGACATGGATTCCGAAGTACCTTGGGAAGTAATATGTTTTTTCTTTTTAAATTCCAATAAACGAGAAGATAGCGAAGCATAGAAAGAACTGGGACCACATCATCCAAATTTAAAAACAGACCAAAGCTTCACTAACCAGAGATCAAGGTAAACAATACCTAGCTCGGTTCAAGATGGATGTAGAGAAAGTGTTTCACATGACTGGAGGAATTGGTAGCACGAGCTACGCCAAAAATTCCTCCCTCCAGGTACTATATTTCTATCTGATCTTTCTGCAAATCTTTGTCATTTCTATCTAGACATTCATTTTCTTTTGGTTAAAGCATGAAAATAACACGGTACGTGCTGCAGAAGAAAGGAAGTGACAGGGTGAAGCATATCATCATAGAGACGGTGAAGGAGCTGTACCAAGCAAGCACACCAGAGAGCTTGGGCATTGCGGATTTGGGGTGTTCCTGTGGACCCAACACACTCTCAACCATCAGAGACATCTTTGAAGCCATCCAAAACACAAGCCAGGAGATCCACCGTCCAGCTTCGGAGTTAAGGTTTTACCTTAACGATCTTCCCACCAACGACTTCAACTCAATCTTCAGGGCCCTGCCAGATTTCCTCAGGTCTCTCTGGCATGACACAGAAAGAGGATCTTCTCCTTCCATCTTCATGGGAGCCTACCCTGGCTCTTTCTATGGAAGACTCTTCCCCAACAATTCCTTGCACTTCGTCCACTCCTCCTACAGTCTACATTGGCTTTCCAGGGTGAGTCGCGTCCTTTATATATGAGGGTCAAACTTTCGAGCTTAGTGCGTACTTAGAAGAAAGAACATGTTACGTGTAGCTAGCTAATGGTGATTGGTGATATATGAGACGCAGGTTCCCCCAGAACTGTATGATGAAGAGGGGAAGTCGATAAACAAAGGCTGTATATCCATTTGCGAGTCAAGTCCTGAAGAGGCGGCGCGGGCATACTACAAGCAGTTCGGAGAAGATTTCTGGAAGTTTCTTAGATCGAGATCGGAGGAGGTGGTTGTCGGGGGAAGGATGGTGCTCATATTTCTGGGAAGAAGAGGGGCGGAACATGTTGACCGAGGCAACTCTTTCTTCTGGGAAATTCTTTCCCGTTCCTTTGCCGTTTTGGTCTCCAAGGTACAACGCTTCTGTGCCAAAATTATTCTCCCTTGCCGTTCTATAACCAGGAAGATTATATTTAGATCGTTAGTAAAAGTGGTAAAGAAATAAAAGAAGTTAATAAAAATCGTTCCATTTTGATATTTATAAAACAAGAAAAATCTAACAAGCTAGTACTGAAGCCGATTTAACAGCACTAGAGATCAGAAATAGTTATATTCTGAAGTAACAAGAGACATTGATATATGTTACATGTATTTAAAAAAATAATGAAGCAATGATTAACATATTAAAAATGTTACATGCATGAGTGAATGTTGTTAAGATTAGAATAAATCATGATGCAAAGTAAAAGTGAAGGAATCTGATTGGGATTGTGAATGAAGGGAGAGGTGGAAGAAGAGAAGGTGGATTCGTATGAAGTGCCATTCTACGCACCGTCAAGGGAGGAGATAGAAGATGGGGTGGGGAGGGAGGGATCGTTCGAGGTGGAAAGGCTCTTCACATGTATCTCCGACGAGGCGGCGGAAGAGGCGGCAGACGAGGGTGGGATGAGCCGCGGGAAGAGGGTGGCGATGGCGGTGAGGGCCATCCAAGAATCAATCATAAGCGACCACTTCGGAGACTCGATCTTGGAGTCCTTGTTTCACACGTACGCCACTCTCCTGGATCAGCAGATCGCCCTTCACCCTATCCGACCCCTCACTTTTGTTACCGTCCTCCGAAAACTATGACGCTGTCCTGATTACGTGATCTCCTTTTGCTTTTATGTATCTTCACACCTTCTACGTTCCTGCCCTCCACTTACGTGCATGCCTCTTGCACCTTTGTTCTCAACACCCATCTCGTCCTTCATTATATGTACCTTCTTTCCTTACCCAGTGGCCAGTACATGTAAACCCGTTATGAATACATACATTTGTTGGAGCAAAGAGACAATTAATTAAGGCTTGTGAAATTTCAGTTACATCATTTTAGGTTTACTTTTTTGGCCAACAACATCTATTCTCTAAAATTAATATCTTTTATTAATATACAATATAATACAAGTGATATAAAATAAACTTTAACATAATTAAAACTATATTAAATGATAGGATAAAATTAAAAAGAAATTAAGAAACGAAGATATTGCTTAATTAGTGATTAATAGTTCCGGAGTCTCTTTACTTTGCAAGCATAGGTTAACTCACTTGAAGAAAGGAATTTCAACAAAAAAAAAAAGGGGTAAAATACAGTGTCTAACCTTTATAAAAGTGGGAATTTAAATTGGTTGAGAGAAGCCAATATACATATGCTGGCAAGTATATTTCCGAATGTTTTCACCAATACAATTCCAAACACACTTAGGTGATGGGGCTTCTCACCTGAATTACCCCCGGCGATTGTATTCTGGCAAAATATTAAAGACTTGAAACACCTGGCCTCTATATAAATCATAACGAACCTGACATGACAACAATTAGAACAAGCGGGTTTATTTTTATGTTTATTGTCATCAGTTCCCAAACCGCAAATCCGCAATAGATAAGACTACCAGGCTTATTTAATTTAATGACCACGGCATTACTATGTTCAGATGCTGGACAAGGAAATTGAAAACCCAGACTGGGAGGGCAATGAATGCTCAGGTCACCCATAAAGCGACTGCCGTTTCGGACCTTAGAGATATCATGGGCCGGGCCCTTGCCTACTTTAAAAGCCAAGCCACAGCCAATATGTGGATAACAACACACTAATTATTTTCTCATTCCAATCAGCCATTTCTGCTTTTGCACGCTTGCTGCTTCTGTCCCTTCCACTGTTTGACGCGTGCCCTAGCACAAATCCCACTATTTATTTCATTGTTCCCTTCCACGTGCCATGGTAAACCTTTTTTTTTCTTCAAAATTTTAATAAAAAAAAAACTTTGGGACTCAAATACTCGAAATTTGCCTCCCAAGACAATAATTTTCCCGAGCTTTTCATGTCTGAATGTTCTGTGATACAGCAGTTCAATAAAACCAGGGTTTCCCCTTCCCTGCTCTCGATGGCCCACGGAGGCATGATGAGCACCCACTTCAAAAGGGTAAAACCCTTCCGGTTTTGGGTATGGGGTTCTTGGATCGTAGCTTCAAAACGATAGACATTGATGATGTTGCAGTCTTGGTTACTTTCTTCTATTTTGTTCACTCTGTGCTGCCTCAGAGGAACCTTTTTGTCATGCTCAAACAACGTGGAAAACCTCCCTTCTCTTGCTTGTCCATAGAGAATCCAAAATTTGAAGCACGCTTTTTGTTTTCGTTTGAATCCCGAAACCTTGGTAATTTGAGGTGGTTTATTCATTACCAAGTGGTTTTGGGATTGATAGAGCTTTTCAAGCCAGAGGGGTCGCCATCACTGGCATGTTCATGTTGAGAAAGAAGACAGCGACGACAAATATTAGGTTCCCATTATTCTTCTCAAAGTTGAACAGCTTGCCGTTTCATAGAAATGAAACATATTTCGAATGAGACTGAGATTCTGAGAATATTAACGCCGTATTAAACAATAATAATAGAAGGTGGGTTCCGAGTTTTAAGAGTAACTCGAGAGAGGTTCCGGTTGGGTTCGCCAACAACGAATAGTCATGGATAAGAGGAGATAGAAGGTGGCAAGTTTTGTTTAAGATGGAATCGGAGTGTGTGTGTTTGCTTTTTGTCTCTGCCTTCATTAAAGCAATGGTCCCTCGGTACCCTCCACTAACACGGGATTCCCCATGTCCACGAAAATAAATTTGTGGGCGACGCCGTGTGTGTTGTGTGTGACCTTCCAATTTTTCAACCTTCAACTTGCCCTTCCTTCTCATCTCTTCATTATTACTAGTACTCTGTTGCGTGATGAACTTTAATGAAACCACATATTGTCTTTTGACCTAGACTTTTATCTAAATCCCACAAGAAAACTATCTGAACCCATTTTCCTGGAAGTGATCATGATTCATGAGTCTTGCCAGCTTCGGTGGAAGGCCATAAGAACTCAACAAGGGATAAAGAGGTGTATATTTTGGAAAGAAAATTAAGTAGGTTTGGCTGGCCATATGAACCAATGTAGATTCTAGTTAATCTTTTCACACATGATGAAAACTGAAAGTGCTACAATAAAAAGAACTCTTTTCTATCTCATTTAAAAGGCACATTTAAAAAAAATTATTTAACCTCATTTATAAATTATGATATAATTTTTTAAATAATATTAAAAAATATTTTTAAAATTATCATTTATGAAAGAAAAAAAATAATATAATATTTTTTTTAAATTTATTATACAGAGACAATTAAAATTTTACGCACTTATATTTTTTATATTTTGTTTATAACAATATAAATAAAGTTAATAGAAATAATTTATAAAAAATAAAAAATATTTATAATCAATACCACACTTTTCCTGACGAAGTGTACCGGAAAGCTCTTTGACCGAAGAAAAACACAATTAATTAAGAACTTGATCGACAGGAGCCATGGAATATGAAAAGACTTGATTTGATTGGCTTTTGATGGGACCATTCTTTCAGGTTTCCCGGGAAGGCCAAGTTTGAAGTTCGTTAAAATAAGACAAGCAAAATGGCATAAAAAAAAAGATGGCAATAATTCAAGAAATCGATAGCCGAGGAAAGTGAGTTTCTCAAATATCTTGTATCTGAAGAGCCGAGCGTGTGGCTCCCCAGGTCCATGACACTATCGTTTGAGTATTTCACAGTGTTAATTTTTTTTCATTTTTTAATCACAAATTCATTATAATAATAATAAATAAATATTATAAAATTTTATTTTAATATTTAATAAACAAATAAATATTAAGATGTTAAAATTAAACTTGAATAGTTTAACTCATTAAAATTTGACTTAAAGAGTTTATATATAAATTTTAATTTGAAGAGTTCAAATTTAAAATTATAACTAAAAATATTTTATAAATAATTTTTATTTTATTAATTTTGCACAGTTATTTATCTAGAATAAATAATATTATTCAAGACATGGTCAAATATTAAATATAAATACTTCTCTTAATAAAATTTTAAATATTAATTTATTATAGTGTAAGAAATTAATTTATTTTGTGAGATTTAACTCATGTTTTAAATTCTTCATATTATTTTTTTATATCTTTTTTAGTATAATTTTGAACTATTTAAATTAAAATTTTTATTTAAATTATTGAGGTTCAATGTTAACATCTTCATATTTATTTATTTATTAAATATTAAAATAATAAATTTATAATATTTATTTATTATATTATTATAATGAATTTGTGGTTAAAAAAAATAAAAAATAAATAAACACTGCCAAACGAAAGTGTTTTAGTGCTGAGCATCACGAGCACCGAGACCAAATCCGGTTCTCCAGTCCATCATCCGTGACTTCAAGTACATTAGTCTACGACACGGCATCATGGTCTATATTTCTTTTTCTTTTTGATTGGAAGAAGAAACCGAAGCCAAAGAAAATAAAAATGTTGTTTATATAAACTATTTTTGCATATTAAGTATTAACGATTTTACTGTGTAATACGCAGAGCTTCAAATAAATCATAATATTCATTTTTTAAATATTATATTAAAAATTATTACAAACTTTACATTTTATATCAACTAATTTTGCATCACAAGGCTTTTGTTTTGAGGAAGGAATTTTTTTTTTATTTGTATGAGCTGTTTAAGAATTATTTTTTTAATGATAAGAATCGCATATGCAAATGATTGTAATTAGATTATTATTTGATTGGTATTTGCAATTACCATACGACACCTGTTTAAATGACGTTGGTTAGAATACAGTGCGGGAAATTTTCTCACATGAACCCTCCAAATATTCAAATAACGAATAATATCTTAAAAATGCATATTGGAGATAACATAATGGAATCGCACACGGATGTTCATGTTATGCTATTCTGATGCTGTTTAGAAGAGTAGCCATTCAAGCCTAATAGAGAATGGATCAATGGAATGCAATGCCATCCCATTCCTTTCGGCGTAGCGGCAAGGAAACAAGTTTCCACTTTTGTTTCTTCCCCTCTTTACAGTCCAAAATATACCAATTCTTTCCAGATCCCTAAATAATTGATCAAGTTTACAGATATGGCCCGAAAGTTTGCAACATATCCCTCACAGAAAAAGAGCAGTTCTAATTATTTTAACATGTCGTGACACATAAATTAATATATTTCTTAAGCAACTATCAATGGAAATCACGGTCTCCTCATTGCAAAAACAAGAACAAAACAATAGATACGATACGCTAATGTCATTTGTTAATTACTCAACATGTATATGTATATATTTTTTGCTATTCTATGATTTATTAGTAGTGAGGAACATGATAGAGCATATCATCTTGCAAACAGGAGAATCGTATGAGATAACTGACAGTTTTGTTATTTTATATTGATATGCAAATCCAGAAATTAACACTGTATAGGGCATGCAGTGCCATTTTTAGTTTTTTTTTTTTTTTAAGGAGGATTTAGAAGGCAATTTCCATTGTCAGTTTCTTTTCCTAGCTCTTGCTTCTAAATTCTAACCACTTATTTACTTCTGGACGGTTTAACTCTGTTTCGGAACAACAATGGCCAACGATTCTTCTCGCAGGAACCTCACCTGCTTCGCAATGAACGCCTCTATGGTGCGCTGAAACTCCTCGTTGCTCATCTTATCATGCGAATATAAATTTTCCCACGGATTGCCGCAGGACCTCGCCGTTTCTCTGCACTTCTCGGTCTCCGATCGCCGGAGATTCCGCGTAGCCTGTTTCGCTGACGCTCCCGTCAAGTTCTCCGACTGGCTTCGCCGATAAACTTTTGGGTAGTCAGATTCTATTTCCGCGCTTGAATCGGTATCAGTGTGCGCGTCGAATTCAACCTGATTCTCAAGTGTCCGAGCAGTCGTGTTGTCAGAGACAATCTGCTTGTCCTGGCAGTGCATCTGCTCCGCCACACGCGACTGTTCAGCATGGACTTCCAACGGTAACTCGGCATGATCCGCGTTCTTCTTCGTCAACTCCAGGAAGAGTTCCATCTCCACATTGCGACCGTCGGAGTTTTGACCGGTTACTCGTCGGGAATTGGCGAGAAGAGTGGCGATGATTGCATTGGAGATAAAGAAAACGAAGAGAGGACTGGCGATGAGGGCGGCGAAGCTGTGGAGGTAGAGGCGGGAGATTTGGACGGCAGAAGAAAGGCAAGTGAGTATCCAGTAGAGGAGGAGCAGAGAGGTGCAGAGTTGTAGAACACGAAAAGTGTGGGCAATGCTAGTGTAGAGAGTGTAGATGCGCATGGCGAGGGCCTTCTCCGTTTGAAGGTTGCTGAAGAAGAGAAATGCGTCCATGGACTGGACAGGGGGCGCTTCTGAGTGGAACGAAAAGTTGAGAAGAAAGGGAAAAGAGGAAGTGAAAAAGGCAAGGGATGGGATGGGAGTGTGAAACCAGAACGGAAACAGAAGTTGGAAGGCACAGGGAGAGAAGGGATGGGTTGTCTTTTGAGTGTTTATTTATTTTTATTTTTTTAAGTCAAGTCTGCGAGACACTTGCTAACTGGACCGTTTCCGCACATACGTGCTCCTTATATACAGTTTTTCACATTCACACTGCCTTCGCCATTTTTTTCTGAACTTACATTTTTTTAACTTGAGATTCATCAATTTACGTAAAAAAAAAATTGATATTTTTCTTATTTTATTAAATTTTTCTCCTTTTTTTAAAAAAATAAATTTCATGAAATTCACAAATTTTTAATTTTAGAATATTCATTTTCTCTTTTTTTTAATCACAACACTTTTTCCTTCTACCCCTTTTCAGTTTTTCAGACTTCAGTCATGTGTTCTCTTTCGTTCAACCGCAATTTCAATATATGACACCAATGACTGCCCTTTTTTTTGGTTTATATTATTTGATCCAATCCTATCTGGACCTTTTTTATATGCCGCAGATTTCATACAATTTGTCCCACGAAAAGAAATGGTGTTGATTATGTTGTCCAGTATATGTTTCTTTACAGCGTATAGACTTCTATTCTACCGATATATCGCTTGGGCAATGATGAACCATACTCGTTACTATATCAAATGTACTATTCTTCCAGATTCCATGTGTTGGCACGGAATTTAGAATAAGAAGTATTATTTACAAGTTTTGTAGAGTAGATTTCCCAAAAAAAAAAAAGTAGGGTACAACTTTCAACCATTTTTATATTTTATATTAATATTGAGATAGAGAAGAGTATGAATTTAGGCCCTATTTGGTCTCCCTGAATTTTTGACTTAGAAACAGAAATGAAAATGAAATTTGACTTTAGGTATGTTTAGTAGTCTAGAATTGTAATTTTTAAGAATTGTAATTCCAATAAAATTGTTGAAATCTAATTTCATCAGGATGAAGGTGGAGTCGATTTGATTCCATAAAATTACAGTTGTGAGACATCTCTATCCTCCAATGTTACTATTTAATTTTTTCTAGAATGATGGCAGTACCATACTCCAGCTTATTATAACTAGGGGTATTCAATCTGGACCCGTCTCGATTGGTCCGATATCGTCTCGATCATATTGAAACAGATATTGTTCCGGCCCGAAAAAAATCGGGACGGGACTTTACGGAATGGGACAGGAAAGGGGTTCGGGACGGAACGGGACACGGGATTACCATCGGGACGTCCTGTCCCGTCCCGAATATTATATATATTATTTTTTATTTTAAATATATTAATTATATTAATATAATTTATACTTATATTAATTATATCAATTATAATTTTAATACTTACAATTCTTATTTAAAATTAAAGTATTTTTATATTGATAATTTTAATGGCATTGAATAAATATGGCGATATCTTTTTTATAATATATTAATTATATTAATATAATTTATTCTTATATCTATTTATTTAATAACTTTTATTTATAACATATTTCTTGCTTATTTTTAGAAGAGTAGTTAGCTTAGTACATCTTCACTAAAGTAGAAGAATAATTATTTGATGTTGTGTTTGACTTGTCTGTTGTTGCTAATCTTATAGCATAAAGATCACTTGTATTTTTTATTATAATATGTAGTTGTGATTAATATAATTCAATAATTAATTTTAAATTATTGTTATTTATGTACTTGTGTTATTTTGATTTTAAACTTAATAAATTATATAATTTAAAATTTTAATGAACATTATTATCTAGATCTTTTTTCGATATTATTTCATTTATCGGGATGGCGGGACGTCTCGATCTTGTCCCGATCCCGTCCCGACTCTTAACAGGACGGGACACGGGATCAAAATTTAATCCCGATCTTTTTTTTGGGACGGAAAACGGGACGGAGGTGTCCCGATCCCGTCCTGTCCCGTGAACACCCCTAATTATTTATAACATTGAAAAGGGGTTTTTTTTTAAAAAAATTGAAAAGGGCATCTTAGACTTTTCTTATTTTAAATGTATATATTTATTAAAATAATATCAAAATTCCATCTTCATATCAAATACACTTTTAAAATATAATTCTATTCTAATTTTATTTTTAATTACAATTATAATTCTATAAAAAACTCTTTCATCGTATCAAATAAGGCTTTAAAGTTATTTACCTTTAATTATCGGAAGCGTAATACCTTCCTTTAAGAAAATAAGAATATGTATGGGAACATGACATTCTAAAGTAAGATTTTCTTTTCAATTCTTGTAAGAAATTGAAGCTCTCATTCAGCAAGTAGCCGATGCTCTGATTATTAATTACTCCACGTAGAGAACAAATTTAATCGAAGGAGATATACCTTCCACTCTCGAAGAGATTAATTAACTCACTGAAGATATAATCCAGTTAATAATATCTTATAATTATAAAAGTAAACGGAATCAATTTATATTCGACTTTCAGGACGTGTAAACGTTCAAAATAAAATGAGAATGTTTATCAACACCATGGCATCCATAGTTACTGCAACATGATATTGATGTTTCCCTTTAAAAAAGTTACAAGGAAAAAAATATAATTTACAAGGCAAATTTTTTGTTTAACACCTGAGATAACATAGAGTCTCTGTGAAATTAATTGTGCTTAATTAAAACTATATAATTATAGAGTTCATTACGAATTTTACATCCAAGTTAAGCTAATTATATTCTTGAGTGAACATGATTAACTTAATAGATACTCTATATTATATCAAGCATTAAATAAGAATGTGAATCATGCATTATGAATTCCTACTCGTTAATAACTGTGAAATTACAATTACAAGTGAAAGCCAAATAAACTATTAAAAGCTTTATTAATCAAGCATAACTTTAAACAGCCTGTGAGCTAAGTATATAAATTTCAAATGAGCTCTATTGCTTGCTTCACATTCTAAGTGGACTTATTGTAGCCTTAAGCATGTATAATTTTAAACAACATTGTCTTTGCACCCCGCAACAAATCACACTCCCAATGGGCTTGACCAGCGGTGGAGCCACGTTATCACAAAGGTGGGCATATACACCTCTCATTTTGAAAAAATTATAATTAAGGTGTACTCCCTTTATTAAAAAATATAAAGTATTTTTTAAAAAATTAAATGTTAAAAAATATAAAATATTTTTAATCTTTTAAGGTGTAATTATTATCTTTTTTTTTAAAGTGTCTCTATTAATAATGACTTTATTCTTATTATAAGATATTTAATAGAAGTAAATATGAAAAGTTGAAATTAGTTTGAAAGTAGTTAACTATTTTATTAAGGAATGAAATTTAATTAAAAATATCATGTATCATTTTTTAACAGAGGGAGTATAAATTTTATAATTTTACAACCCTTGTCCTTGATATTTTACATCCCTTGAACTAAACAAAAAATATTTGGGCTCAAGACAACTTACAAGCAAGACATGTAAATTTTATAACCTTACACCTTTTGTTCTTAATATTTTACATCATTTGAACTAAACAAAAAATATTTGGGCTCAAAATCTTGTTAGATAATCAGGGCAATATATAAAAGGCATGTTAATATAAATAACTATATTAACATGTTCAAAATAAGTTTTTTTAAATAATGATTAATTTACTTATGTTATTCCAATTTGAGTTCTAGCGTAATTATTATTTTTTATTATTTAAAATATTTTTAAAAAAATTATTAATTTTTAAATTAAATTATCTTACACCCCTAAATTTCTTCAAAATTGTTTATGGATACTCCCATGATCTTGCTTACAGGGCAAATAGAGAAAATGACACTTTATTATTTTTTATATTTGTCATTAAATGTTAAAAAAGTTATTAAAAACAGTTTTTTTGTTCTTGTTAGGAGTAGAGGTTAATTCTGAATCAATTTTAAAATAAAATTATTGAGATTTAAATTTATTTTATTGTAATAAAATATATTAAAAATAATTTATAAATAAAATGAGAGGAGACAAATACGTTGTAGGGACCTGTTGATAATTGTGCCTTTCCCTTTCTGGTTTATGTAATTTCTGTTCATTAATAATTATAGTTGCCTTTATCGGGAAAAAATTGCGTCCTTTGCCCATCCTGCGCCTCCTCGTTCTCAATATTTATTATTTCTGTCCCTCAATCTCCAGCGTTCATTAATTGCGTTGCTTTCTTAATCCTACCGATTGAATAGGCCAAGGAAAGAAGTTGGGGGAAGCGGGAAGACAGAATGGGGGCAAAGCTGAATAAATAATGGCGTCCGTGCATGTCATCATTCATACTTCGTAGGTACACAATATTACCAGTATATAAACAGACTTTTGTTTCCGTACGCTAGGAAAAAAGAATGCTAATCGTAATTGAAATAATGGAGTATGTAAATAAATACTATATTGGTTTGGTGGCAGAACGCGGATACATAGGTGGGAGTGATGGACCTAACAACAAAAAGAGTGTTGAGCGTTGACTCTGCAATCCCTGAGTCTCTGCCAAGGCACACGCCATCGCTTATTTCCCATAAATTTACTCCTTTCCCAAATCCTTCCGTTGCTTCCGCAGCGCGCTTCTTTCAACATTCAAATGCTGGATATGGGCGAATCACCGTCACATTTGATTATTCCTTCGGGCTCTCACAAAGCCATGCAGAGGGCGTCTGACGTCTTTTTTTTTTCACAATAGTCTGATTCTGATGTCCTGTTTTGTTTCGCGGGAAAAGCATTATTTCGATTATGGGTCACAATCTCAATCAAAGAAAAGATTGCTATGGGCATGATCCAAACATGAAAGCCATCCTCTTGCCACCAGAGACTGGACTCGCACTGTTTAAGTATCAGGCTCGCAACAGTGTATGATGGATCGCCTCAGGCCCAATGATTCGTTGCACAATAATAGTCCACGTGGAATTTGTGTCTTCACGTTCCTCCCTCTAAACAAGCCCATAATAACTTGCAATGTTGCGCCAAAAAAAAAACTTGTCATGTTCACCTGCTCTTATTTATTGCGTTCCAACTTCCGAACACATCTAAATCGTACTGCTCAAAATATAAGCCTTTTTTTAACTTATCTTGATTTAAATTTTAAATAACCTAGTATATGTAAAAGAAATTTCTTCCATGTTACCCCTTATATATTTATTAACTTAGATATTTGTGTAGATATATCTTTCATTTATCATGGAATATTTTTTTTTTTAACTCTTTAAATACAAAGGCCAGCAAAACTCGTAAGAAAAAAGCAAAGCTAATTAGAAGCTGAATGAAAGCAGGCCACTAATCGCCTTATCCGCCAGCAACAGGTGTTGCAACCACTGGGAGCCTCCAAGATAACTTCTGTGTCTCCACTAGAGTTTTGAGCTGTTCTAAACATATAATCAGCACATTTCAATCCATCTCTGTAACAAAACTACAATTCCAAGTCCCAGTCATCATAAATTAGTGTGCATGTATCAACCACAAGATCCTCGTCAACCTGACTACTGCCACTACTTCGAAATAATAAATTGA